TATCGGCGAGCTAATTTAACCTTAACCCCTTCACACCCTTTCCATTTCCCGCGACGACAATATCCCTCCCGTCGTTTTCGTCGTCGAATTCTGCCTCCTTGGTAGGAAAGAGATCGCTCCTTCCTGCGCTCGAATCATCCGCCGACATTCCCCTGTCTAGACTCGCAGTAACTTATATAGAAAGTAAAAGTCGCGTACTTTCGCTCGAGTACAAAGCTCCGATTTTGAATAATAGCACAAATTGAATTGAAAATCTTCATCGTTCGTCAATTTTTGTTTTATAAAACTGCCCACAATTAAACTTCGAATTAAAGTTCTACTAAAATAAAATCCAAAAAATCTGTAATTTAATCTTTCATAAAAGTTCTTTTAAAAAATTTCAAGAATTGAGATACGTTATATTTAGAAAAAAATATATTGCTATGTAAATTTATGTTTTCTTAAATATTACACGAGAGCCACAAATACATTTCTTCGAAATGCATTGTACATTAGAGCATCTCGACGTTAACAAAAATGTAAGAAGATTTTGAGAGATTTAACATCATTAGAGACGCGTGCAATAGATAAACATCGTTCGTTGTTTCTTCCAACATTATCTCACGCAGTAGCCCGTTTAACGGCATTTACATATGCGACAAGCGTCGCAAATACGACATCCTAGTTACAAGTGCATCGTTCTGTGAATACACAATGTACACCGTTACTCCTAGCTCCGGTGCCGTCGTCTACCGAACGGAATTCCGGCCAACTCCGTTTTATCTTATTGTCAGTAAATCAGAACTTCGATACTTACGGCGCCGCGCTTTCGGACTTTTATGCGTCTGTAAACTTTCGCGACGACCGTTCGCGGCTTTTTAAGACTTTAACGCCTTAGCTTGAAGATCTTTGTTGATAAGAAAGTATCGCCTCCAAACGCGATAATTCAATTCTGCTGCATGCATAGAACGAAATATAAGAGTAAAATTCTACTAGTCAAAAGAAAAATAATAATAATGTGCAAATTTATAAGATATTAAAAACTGATGTTAAAGGCAAAACAGAATTTGCATTTATCGCAAATTGCGAGAAAAAAATCGTTAAATAATTTTAAATTTTTTCCAAAATTCTTAAATTAACTTTAAAAGTTAAATTCTCCGCTTCTAAGTTTCTGTTAAATAAATTTTTCTCCAAAAAGAATCAATTCGAGAAATAAATTTTTATTACGTTGATTCTTATATTTAACGACAAAATCCTGTAGCGCAAAAATCGCTCTCGCAGGTGCGAATTTTTTAGTTAATAGTACCTGCTAACCTAAGTGGAACTGACGCGTTCTTCGATATAGGAAATGTGCACGATTTGTCGGGTTAACTGACCTGTCCATTAGCAGCACGTTATCGCCTTTCCTCTCGTGGCAGTAGCCCCACACCGGTATCGAGTTAAAGGTGATGTTAATGGTGGAATACTGAATGGGCTCGTACATTATACCTCCGGCGCCCATTCCGCTCACCTGCATCACGAATTCGCCCTGATATTCTGCAGGAAAGTAACAACCCCCCGTGGTTTTAGATTCGGAATTGGGAATGTAATCTCGCAAGACTACGCTCATTTCACCTGAAAAGAAAAAAATGTCTCTATTAGAAAATGTTGAACATACTGAAATTCTAATATTAAAGCAAACATTTTGATGAAATAATTAATTCATTGAAACTAAATTTGGAACAAATTTTAAGTGAGTTTGTCATTTAATTATAATAATAATAAATACACAAATTATAACTTAAAAAATAATTATTTTAAAATAATTATCAAAGCAAAAGGTAAACAGACAATTAATAAGCAAATAAAATATAACCAATTGTCATAAATGATAAAAAATCGTGGAAATCTTAACACCGGATTATAACGGATTTCCCGATTAATTTTGTACCGTAGACGACCTTCAAACCGGAAGTACAAGTTCATAATGAGTTTTGTAGTGAGCGCTTGAGCAAATGCACCACCCGTAACTACAGTTGCATGCAGTTCATCGCAATTATTTCAAATCATGTTGTTGACAGTTAGACGGTGTAGACTTTGTTACATATATTTTAGTATGACTAAAAATTTAAATAGTACATTTATCTTACATATCGCAATTTCGATTATTTCAATATTTTTGGAAAATAAACAATTACATTCTATAAAGTATTAACATAAGATATTATAAAATATTAATAAATATGACACAAGTTGTAAAAATCAATATTAAATTGCCAAATTACGTGTTGTCCAATTCATTCTTTGATTTACACACATATGTTAAAAGAAAGGTGTCCGGTAGACACAATATTGTGTCTCGACAATGCAAAGAATTATGTGGCACACAAAACAGTGACTAAATTCGTGCTCTCACACTCACATGTCGTAAGTTCACCAGCCCGTGAAAGGTCATTAACGTTACCACTAAGTGGTCCCGAGAGACAGGTGCGACGATGACAGGTGGGATCACCAGCGGACTCAACGAGTAACACTATCGCTTTGCTTTCTTTTTTTTTACACGGTATACACGTGTATAAGAAATGTAAATAGCGCCTCGCCCCGATTGACGTGCATAAATGTATCGAATATTATTTCCTTAGCAGTAAATAATAGAAACATTTATCTAAAATTGATTTCAACGTTTTTAAATGACGAAATACATCCAACAATAAGTGGCAAGAAATATATATACATTATATTAAAATATATTGTATTAAAATTTCTTTTGATAAAATAATCAAAATTGTAGATAAATTTGCCGTTTCGTAATCTGAAAAACCGCAATATTTATAAAAGTCTGCTCTGCAATAAAAATTCTGCAGACTGCCACTCTTGTGAAACACGTTTCTCTACAAAGTGTTGATTGAAAATCACTGATATTATAGTTGGAAGTCGGGCAAACTATATTGCAGTTGGCCTCAGGTGGCCTTTTTTCCACCTGTCTTTCTTTCTCGTTACAATCAATGTCCGTGCAAAAGCCGTCATTGTAAATTACTTCACGCATGATCTGTAATAGAGACCGAACAGCGATCAAAGCTCTCGCAATCTGTGCTGCGGCGATCATTAACGAGGAGCATTGTGCCTTATACATGTTGCGTATTTTCTGCGACTCGACGTAACCGCGAACATCCTCCCTCGTCCAATCGTGCAATTGCATTGTAGTAGGTAGCGGTTTGAAAGCTTGATCGTAAGGTTTCTGGCAGGCGAGACGCATGCACATGACGAATAAAAAACGCATCCTCCCGGTTATTATTGTCCTGCGGACTATAATTAACCCCCTCGCGCTGGACGACAGCGAGAAATATTCTGTGCTCAAAGAAATGCGTCGTGTAATATATAAAAGGATTGCACAAAAAATAATTGGAGACTCGGAGCATGTCACAAAAACGCAATCATAATGATAGTATTTTGTCAGAACATGAAGTAGAAAATAAAAAAAGATTATTGATTAAATGATTAAATATTGATTGAGTACGAAACAAGCTTCAGCGAAGAATAAGCAAAAATAATAAAAAAATTATTATTTTTTATTTAGCTTCAAGTATATGTTATTTTGGTAGAATCCTGAGAGATTTTTACATTAAATCATTGTGATTGGCGTAAAGAAATGATTGTGATTTATGCGGAACGTATTGCACAATTCTTTCGACTCTGCATTATTACGATAAAATGAATCGAATCGAAAGCGGCACGCTTTAATTCTTTCGGCGAGCGTGCAGAGATTCCGGATATTATTAATTGACCGATAGATAATCGAAGTCGGCGTGACGGCACGAAAGTCTGGACGCGAGATACGGCGTGTAGCAAAAGAAATAAATGATAGAACGAATATAAGAAAAGGCGGTGGTGCTTACGTTCATTTTATTAAGGGCTACGAACGACGGAAGTGGGATCAAGTTTTTCCCACAGACCCCTTCTTCAGCAGCACCTATGCGCAGCATACCTTTGTAAACACGTGTTATCTTCCGACGATCTGCGTGATTACCGCGCTAGATCAAGCAGTCGTCGAGCGCACGTCTCGATCCTTTCGACGTCGTATTTATATGACGAACAAAAACCACTAAAATTAGATTTCTTACAAAAAAAAAAACAATTTATTAATATTGTTCGCAAAATTCGCAGATTTAGTCAACTACGCGCTCGAAAATTCCTTTCAGAGAAATTGGAAATTCAGTTGTCAAAAAACTGATAAAATAAAAAACTTGCTGCAAACTTCTCGTTTCACTCTTCAACAGTCTTTGCGAAAACTCCTTCCAAATCGGAAATCCTACTGATATACGCCGCCGGCGCAATACATCTGCGTATGCAACATTAATTTATCTCGAAGCGTAATTTCCGCTCTAATAGGCGCCATCAATACGGATCTCGCGAAGGGCGCGAGAAGATCGGTGCGCGCTATCTCTTCGATCGTGTTCAATGTCTTCGAGAGACACATCCTCCGGGCGATGCGACGCCGAGAACGCGTGCAACTCTTCGTTTCTGATGCGGTACAGGATGCATTCCTCGCGCGCAACCGCCTATGGGTACCCCGGCCGGCCAGCGAGACGCGGCGCAATTACTCGGAGGACTTTTTCGTTCCGGTAGGAGGTGTTTCTCTCATTCTTTCTCTCGCATGCATGCATTTGCGCTCTATCTTATCGTTTTCTTTCATCTACATAAAGGACGATCAACTGTCCCTCTTACGTGACCTTCATTTTCTGCCTCATCCTGCAACTTCTTACTCGTCTCCCCTCTCCTCTCACAAATCCCCTCCTCTTCTTGCGACGGTGTTCCAGATGTTCGCACGCAGCAGTCCCCTTAATCAATCGGGATTATCGATAAACAGTGAGTAATCGATATCCCACTGCTCTCTTTATAGCTCTTTAATCTTATCTAAAAATACGTCGCATTATAATTAGCGAGCATCACGCATCGCGCGATCATCTTTCCGCTTACGGCGCTCGTGAGAGACATACTTCGAGATACCCGAAGATCTCGGGAAACAATTACTTATGTGTATATTTGCATAACTGCGAGTAATAAAAATCCAGTTTGCCGATATAGCGGCCGATAGCAGCATCAATAAATTATTTAATTAAATACTAAAATCAACTGCGGTTTTCTTGGAAGAAATCTACATCGTTAAGATACGAAATAAGATTAAAGTACACGGCTTCGCAGATGATAACTCCTTTCTTGATATTGAATTGTATTCGTCTTAAAGTTGTCAGCGAAACTTTGTTAGTTTCGACATAAAGTAATTATTCAAAATATTTTAATTACAAATTGCAACTTTTGATCCCTCCTATGATAATTGGTTGAGTTCAGCAATTTCATCGAAGTAATGTGAGCAGAAAATACGTCGGTTAATAAGTCCGATCTTTTCGATTACGAAGACGAAGCATTGCTCTCTTTCTCGTCAATTCCATTTCCTTTTTCTCGTTCACATGCCTTTCATCTTCGCTCCGTGATTACTCGAGATTTCCTTCAACCTTTCCTCCGCGTTCCTTCGCCGAGCGATTCGAGTTCCATCTCGCGAAGAGATGCCAGGTGTTTGCGTCCAGGAGGGTCCTTAATCCGTACCTCTTGGTGAATTCTTAATGAACGCAAGAGACTCGATATATGCCGAATGATCGCTCTGGAAATTAGAGGCTTGCGTCTAGAGAGAGGACGGGACGCAACCACGCATTATTTTAAGAAGGGGCTTGCGTTCGCTCTATCTCCATCTTTATTGACGATTCTCGGATCAAAAAATGGAAAGACGCGACGTTCTTTTCTAATTTTCTTTTCTTTGCAAATCATTACAAATTTATGAATACCAGAAAGAGATGTGTGTCATTGATATAAAGAATTTTAGAATCTCATAAACAAGTAGGTAATAAATTGTTACGAGCGTAAAAACACAAAGAAGATATAACAATGCAAACCTCTTTAAGCTGCGACAAAAATCTTCTCGCAGAGAAAACTAAAATGTCACTTGATGTCGCAAGCATTCAAATATACTCGCTCGAAGATAAAAGGTCAGGAAATTAAGGGTTTCCACTGCGAAATTGACGCGAGTTTTCTTCATATTGCGAAATCGCAGTCGCAGATCAGATCGACTCGACGCGAAGATTGACGTCGATTTCGCGATCGTGCATCATGGATTAGACGATAAATCGACGATCGAACGACCTTAAACCTCCTGCGTAATGGAAACCGACGAGGCCGAGGCTAAGTCGGTTATGAAATATCGGCGCTCGTTGATCTCACCTTTTGCGCGCGAATCGATGGTACCGTTTTCTCGGCGTTTAACTCGACGTCCAAGCTCGATCCTATCGCCGAGCTTCGAGATCTACGTCTCGGCGCAACGCGGCTCGGAGAGAGTGAGAGAGAGAGAACGGTTTTCAAATTACCCGTAAGATCTGCCAGAGGATCGCTTGCACACTTTCCCGATTAGATCGGGAGGTCAGACTGTGAAACCGTGCGAAAGGTGTGGCCCGGCGTATCGAGTGCACCGCTGCGGCTAATGTTGTTTAATAAGACACTCGAGATGTAACGAGTGTATGTGCAAGTCGCTGCTATCACAATTTCACAATGATTTATCGCATAGCCGCCGGTCTATCATTTCAAAACGCATAATCATCGC